GCTGCCAGGCAGCACAGCTTCACAGGTGATTAATCAGCCCCACCCAGTCAGTCAGCTCCCTGCTGATTGGACGGGGCTGATTAATCACCTGTGAAGCTGTGCTGCCCTGCAGCTTAGAAGGAACACTGTCAATTTTTTCATTGATGAGTGTTTGGAAGTTCTCTTAGTGCATGGAGGATTGAAGGCTTTGGATGTTGTATTGCTATCTGTATGATTTGGTTTGCTTTCTATGTTTGGTGCAATCCTGATAGACATGATGTATCTCACTAGGTGGTGGCCAGTCCAGCAACTGTCAGCTCCTCTCATGATATGTGTGTAGGGTGGCCCGTGAGCCTAGGCGAGCTAGGCAGCTGCCTAGGGTGCTGCTGGCCTGGGCGCCCGATGATGACGTCATGGCCATTGATGGCCGTGCAGGCAGGGGCACCGATTGCACTGCCCTGCCTAGGGTGCCAGCTGCTGCAGCCGGCCTCGGGCCACTCCTGTATGTGTGATTTGCACATCTCTTCGATCCTGTTTTCTTACAGCGACATAGGCTAAAAGGTGCCATCGTTTTGAACAGGGGTGTTGCCAAGTTGTTTTGTACTTGATGCATTGTCTGAAGATTGTATTGCTAGTCACAAGGTCATGCTCTGCATATTTGCTAAGTAGAAGGATGCCATTAGACTTGGTCTTCCTTCTCCAAGGTGCTACTCCATACCTTAGAATCTCAGGCAAAAATCTTGGGTTAAAGTCTCTTAAGAGGACCATCTTATCTGGTTTTGGAATAAATGACAGAATTTTATCAAGGTCAGCATAGAAGGAGTCTTTCTGCTCTTCATCAGCATCAAGTATTGGTGCATATGCACTGGTAATGGTAGCGAATGACTTATTGACCAATTGGATGCAGAGGGCCATCGCTGATAGGAAGCTAGGTCAGGAAGTTGGCTAGAAAGTTCTTGATCACAAAGCCAACACCCTGAATTCACCTGTCGTTTGTTAGTTTCCATTTCCAAAAGAAAATGTAACCACCGCCCTTTTCCCTCAAGTGGCCTTCAGCATGTCTTGTCTTAATGAGAGCAGCAGTGTTGATGTTGTATCTCAAGAACTCTTGGGCAACAACTGCTGTTCTGAGCTTGGGTCTTTCACTCTTTGAGTCATCTAGTAGGATGTGGACATTTTAAGTTACAAGAAACTTTTTTTTTTTTTTTTTACTGCATTCAGAGTGATCCCTTTGGATGCAGTTATCCAGTCAAGTGTTGTGGGATAGCCTATACTTTGGAGCAAAATGCAGGACAATGTAGCACTTTAAAGACTAACAAGATGGTTTATTAGATGATGAGCTTTCGTGGGCCAGACCCACTTCCTCAGATCAAGTGTCTGGCCCACGAAAGCTCATCATTTAATAAACCATCTTGTTAGTCTTTAAAGTGCTACATTGTCCTGCATTTTGCTCCAAAGTATAGGCTATCCCACAACACTTGACTGGATAACTGCATCTTGGAGGCATTTTTATATCCCCATCCCTGTAAAGTGTGAGCAGGGAGTTCCTAAAGAGATCTGCTCAGTCATGACCACGAGTGCCATAGGTGCCCCATATCTCAGTCTAGGCAAGAGCGGCCCTAGATGAGCTGCCGGCAACTGGTGCCCTAGGTGAAACACGTGATTGGCGTGTGATCAGCACCCCCGCCTCCAAAGCCCTCAATGGCCGTTAATCTTGGCACATGAGGTGACTGCCTAGGTTGCCTGTATTGACAGGCTGCCACTGAGTCTGGGGGCACATGAAAACCATCCTGGAGTCACCATCTGAGTGTGGATGTGTGACCAAGGACTCCGGTGATCACTTCACCTGTCCCTGTCGCCATTCATCCATCACCACAGTACTTTTAGGAAGCCTGTGAGAGAAGCCTGGGCATGAATAGTTGAATGTGGGGGAGCCGTTGTGCGTCAGGAGCCACACACAACTTGGCAGAAGAGACAGAAGTCCGAGACAACTGGGTATTTCTCCTCCCTTGCAGTCTTTGCTCCCTTTGCAGCCATTGAGAAGAGATCCTGCTTCATCTGCCTGCTCTGTGGTTGTGGTCTTATGTATGTAGATCATGCACACACATACACACTCACACACACACATATATTGCCTCATCTCCTCTTTTGGCCAGGACTGGAGGAGAATGGAAATGAAAGGTGTGTGTGGAGGGATTCAAAGCAATAAATAAATAAATAAATACATAAAACAAGAAAACCCAACCCCTCAGATTGCATTATTTTAAAAGACAATGCAGAAAAAAACCTCAGTTGTATTTCAAATGTTAAATAATCAGCCAGTCTTCATTGGGCACAGCACTTCACTTTTTTTTAAAGGCAATAAGTTATTTTGACAACAGGAAACAGCTGATAAAAGCAATCATCCTTTGTTTTGGATTTACTGGCCATTTCCCATATGTTCTATTTGCTTTGGATGTCTCTTTAATATCCGCTGGAAGAGGTGAGGGGGAGGGGAAACCAAGTGTGTTGTTGAAACCACAGGTTCCCCCAACTGCTGCTGCTCCTGTTGTACTCAGCATAAAA